GCAATCCAGCTCCACAATCCCGCACCGCATCATATTTCTGTACACATTCAATCCATCACACAACACCACACATATTTTCTGATATGTAAGTGCACCATTAAGTGAAACCAGACTAAAAAACTTTGCTATGAAGAGGCTTTGTCAATATGGGTCTGCAAGGAAAATAATATATAAAACCTTGATCTAGAAGAAAAAAACACTGTTCGGCCATATATAGGTCAAAGGTTCATATCAAGGGAAATGAGGCCACTGTTCAGAGAAACAATGGAAGATTTTCTTTCCTAAATGATGGGCTTAACCACACTCACAGCACTGAAGTTAGAGGAGAAAAAGGAGCACTATTATCGGTTCCAACTTCACAGACAAAAGAAAATAATGAACTATTTAAAATGTAAATAATCAGAACAAATATAAAAATAAGAACAATTCAAGTTAGGAGGCATTAACTCCAAATACTTGAACTTGAATTTCAACCATAGATGTGTTCTATTAGACAGCAAGCTGTTGAGTGTTTTGCATGTAAAAGGGGCAGGGGAGGGCTTAAAGAAAGAGGAACAAAATGCTAACTGAAGCTCTTCATTTCCTTAACGAACTTAGCATGTAGGATTTGAGTTTTCTGAAGAAATTTCAAATTCAATACATAGCAAATAAAAGTAAAAAGTAGAAACAGTACGTTGCCAGGATGCTTCTGAAGTTGCCAGCTTTGCTAACATTTTCATAACATGTATCTCTAGGAGGCATTCAGTTGGCCTTATATGCTACAGGCTGGCAAGAAAAACATTCTTGTAGCCAGCTTTTGAGCTCATTCTTTAAAATGTTCTAATTTAAATGCAACTGTAGACCTCACAAGCATTATGGTTGTAGACCAACTCTAGGTTGGCACTCTTACAGCAAAGTGATTAGAAAAAAACTTTTGCACATTCTACTTGACATTCATAGCCTACTTCTCAATAATGCTCTGGTTTTACAAAAGCTAATGCTCATTATTCAGAGGCAGGCATGGGACAGTATCTCCATATTCTCTCTCTCTCTCCATTCATACTCAACCTGTGTCCTAACTAGAACACTGTGGAGTGAAATTCTCTTATTATGTGAATACATACTCGGATGGTAAGCTGCACTGGTATTTTTGTGTCAAAAGCCAGGTGTGATAGCTCACACCTGTGGTTCCAGCTACTGGGAAGACAGAGGTGTAGAGGAAGGGAAATTGTGGTTTGAGGCCAGCCAGGGCATGAAGTTTGAAAAGCCCCAGCTCAAACAAGCAGCAGTGTGCAACTGTGATACAGCTACTGTGATCCCAGCTATGTAGAAACCATAGGAAGGATAGGCAGTCCAAGACACTTGGCCCAGACAAAATTGCAAAGCCCTATCTGAAAAATAAGTACAGCAAAATCGAGCTAGGAGCATGACTCAAGTTGTAGAATGCTTGACAAAGAAGCACAAGGCCCTGAGTTCAAACCCCAACACACATAAAAAGGGAGTGGCCCCAAATTCGCCAATTTAGTTTGATATTTGATATGACATTCTTTAAATGTGGCCTCCTCAAATGCAATCATTATATTCAATGTAGAATATGTAAAAACTGAGCTATCTAATTTGAGGATAGGAAGGGTAGAGAGGAAATGAACAAGGGAAGGAGTGACATTGATCAAGATGTGATGTATTCACAACCCAACTTATGGGAACTGCAACTACTTTGCACACTACTTAATAATCTTTTTTAAAAATATGGCTACCAAAAGTCTATTTCTATAGCAGAGAATAAAATACAGTCATTCTGGTCGTAACATTTTCAAGGTTAGATTTTTTTTTTAAGGCACTGGCACATAGACTTAGGTTACTTATTCAGCTTCAACTTCCCTGTTTTGTTTTGTTTTTTTTGGGGGGGGGGGGGGGTCCGGTCATGGGGCCTGAACTCTGGGCCTGGGCGCTGTCCCTCAGCTCTTCAGCTCAAGGCTAGCACTCTACCACTTGAGCCACAGCCCCACTTCTGGCTTTTTTTTCTTTTTGCTTATGTGGTGCTGAGGAATCGAACCCAGGGCCTCAGGCATGCAAGGCAAGCGCTCTAACACTGAGCCACCTTCCCAGCCCCCAACTTCCCTATCTGTAAAGTGAAAAATATTGTCCTTATAGAGGGCAAAGGCCATGTTATTTTTCTCAGCAGTAAATATACAGTGCCCAAGTGTTGGGCACTGTAAGTAAAGGGTTTCATTAATATATGCAGCATGACAGAGTGAAGACTAGATCTGAGTTTTGAACATATATCTTGTACAAAGCAAGAGATGATAAATATTAATTGCATCTGAATCAGAAAATGCTCTAAGCTCTAGACTGAACTTCTGCTTTGATTCAAGATGAAATTACAGAGACACTTATCTTCCCACATGATCTAAAAGAACTAAAACGCTGACAAAGTTTATGAAACAACAGTTTTTAGACACTTGACATGAGCCATAGAGGCAGTGACTACAGAGGGGACAACCAATGAAGAGGTCCTATGACTGCCTTACTTCACTCCTGGACAGTTCCAAGACTTGAGGGGAGGGGGTGGGGAAGCCCAGGCAACTTAATATTCTGGTTCCAAGTCTGGAGAAGCCAGAGAAGCTAGTATGTATACTGCAAAATACAGAGGAGAGAGTACACAGAAAGAGCCAACATTAAAAGTCTACAGAAAGGAACTTCTAAGTCTTTAGATGAGCATAAATCACAAGAAAATACCAGAAGCTGTAGAAAGAATCACTTGAAAAGAATATAATAATTTCCTAGTTCTTTCACAGGGACAAGAGAGGAAAATCTTGTAAAAGTGGGTATGGTGGTATGGACCTATCTATTCAGCTATGGTGGAAAATAAAAAAAACAAGAGAATAGAGTCAGGAGCACTCAAAAATTAAGCCTGCTGAGCACTCAAGCCTGCAATGTGTCTTAAGTGTTAGCACCAGCTCTTTTCATAACACATCTTTTTCTTTTTTTTCTTTTTTTTTGGGGGGGTCCTCTCGTGGGGCCTGAACTCTGGGCCTGGGTGCTGTCCTTCAACTCTTCAGCTCAAGGCTAGCGCTCTACCACTTGAGCCACAGCGCCACTTCCAGCTTTTTCTTTTTGCTTATGTGGTGCTGAGGAATCGAACCCAGGGCCTCATGCATGCAAGGCAAGCGCTCTACCACTGAGCCACCTTCCCAGCCCCACACATCTTTTTCTTTAAAATCCTATTAACCATTTTGTTTGAGACAGGATCCCCTTACTATGCAGACCAGGCTGGCCTGGAACTCATAATCTGCCTTCCTCATCTTCCTGAAAAGTCACAAATTTTTACGACTTGCCACCAAAAAACATTTTCAGTAAGACAAGACTGATAATACATATGGACTAAATCTGAGTAATTTCTTACAGTAAAGACAACATGCATATGACACGGAGAAAAATTTAAGTGACACCAAGCTATCAACACGTAAGCCAAGTGAGCCAAATTAGTCAACTACACAGACACCATTTAGGTACTGGTCCTCAACTCAAATCACTCCTCAAAAGTAAATTACTCACTTAAAAAATCTTAGTGGAAGCCAGGAGCTGGTGGCTCATGCCTGTATCCTAGCTACTCAGGAGGCAGAGATATGAGGATCACAGTTTCAAAGCCTGCTCAGGCAGGAAAGTCTATGAGACTCTTATCTCCAATTAAACACCAGAAAACCGGAAATGGAGCTGTGGCTCAAAGTGGTAGAGCAATAGCCTTGAGAAGAGCTCAGAGTCAGTGCCCAGGCAATGAGTTTAAGCCCAATTGCCAAAAAGAAAAATTATATATATAAATAAATATATATAAGTGAAATTTGCATTTTATTACTTGTTCTAGATGAGTTAATATTTATTTCCAACTGGAAAAAAATCAAGTATAATTACATCCACAGTTAACTTCTTCCCAGTATATAACTAACAATAAGCAAATGAGTAACATGTAGGACAGCCTATAGTTTTTAGTATTTAACTAGTATAAAACACATGGTGGTCTCTCCAATGTTTATGGAATAAACTGTGAATTGGTACTATGTAGCTAAATGCCTAACATATGCCTAGCATACATATGGAGGAGGGTGTTATGAATTAAATATCTTACATTTGCCTTTACCTACTCTAGTTAAAATAAGTTATTTTAAGCCGGGCGCCGGTGGCTCACGCCTGTAATCCCAGCTACTCAGGAGGCTGAGATCTGAGGATCACGGTTCAAAACCAGCCTGGGCAAGAAAGTATATAAGACTCTTACCTCCAATTAATCACAGAAAAAAAAAGACGAAGTAGTTCTATGTTTCAAGTGGTAGAGTTCTAACCTTAATTAAAAAGAACTCAGAGATCAGCAAAAAATAAATAATAAATAATAAAAAGGAGCTGGGAAGATGGCTCAGTGGTAGAGCGCTTGCCTTGCATGCCTGAGGCCCTGGGTTCGATTCCTCAGCACCACATAAGCAAAAAGAAAAAAGCCAGAAGTGGCGCTGTGGCTCAAGTGGTAGAGCGCTAGCCTTGAGCTGAAGAGCTGAGGGACAGTGCCCAGGCCCAGAGTTCAGGCCCCACGACCGGACCCAAAAAAATAAATAAATAAATAAATAAATAAATAAAAATAACCAAACAAAAGTCATCTAATCTATTGGCTTATTTTCCTTTTATTCAATGTTTACAACTTACATAATATGCTACTATAGTAAAATCTGACCTATTATTTATTCTCAACCGCAATCTTCTTTCAAATTCTCCATCTACACAAAAACTTTCATGATCTTCAGACTCTCCAAAGGACCTACTATGTACAACCTTTTCTGTGAGTGTATAAATCACTTCAGAGATAAACAAATCTAGCACATCTAAGCATGGTACAGTGCAGTGCACCAAGGTAACCTTTTATATAAAGCACATCTTTATATCATGTCAGCTTTTCACTACAGTTAAAATAAAACTCAAGCCAACTCCAGGCAAGCACAGACCTGCATCAATATTTGTGTAGTATTTTTCTCCATTACCTAGGCTGGGAATTCTCCTCATACATTCTTTCTTTGCCCTCCTTGAAGAGGCTTATGGTCTGCTTAGTTTTCTTCATCAAATTCTCCATGAACACCCTAAAATATTCATTTTCTCCAAGTGTTTCCATCTTCCCCTCATATCTTGACAAGACAGTACGGAGATGCTGGTAGGTATCTGGCAGCAGGTCTAAGATATAAGGTGGACTATTCTTTAACGCCAGCTTTGGGTTCTGACACAACCGTACCACCTGCAACAAATGGAAAAGAACGGCTATTACTTGAAGGATCTTAAGGACAATTCCCCATTTTTGTCAATCAGTTGGCTTGAAATCGGAGCCTGGGTGCTGTCCCTGAGCATTTTCACTCAAGGCTAGCACTCTACCACTTTGAGCCAGGACTTCACTTCCAGCCCAGGCTGGCTTCAAACCACAATCCTCAGCTAGTATTGCAGGCATGAGCCACTGGCACCCAGCCCAATTCCCCTTTGTAAATTATTTTTAAAAAGTCATGAAATAGGTGCTCTTTTTCAGAAGAAAAGTCCATGAAAATGTAAAAAATAATCCATGATCAGTTGTTCACTATCACGCTATTTCTCGTTGTCAATGGGAGGGTTCTTTTTTTATATTTTTATTTTATTATTATTATTTTTGGGGGGGGGCCTGGTCGTGGGGCCTGAACTCTGGGCACAGGCGCTGTCCCTCAGCTCTTCAGCTCAAGGTTAGCACTATACCACTTAAGCCACAGCGCCACTTCCGGTTTTTTTCTTTTTTGCTTATGTGGTGCTGAGGAATCGAACCCAGGGCCTCAGGCATGCAAGGCAAGCGCTCTACCACTGAGCCACCTTCCCAGCCCTGTATTTTTATTTTAAACAATATAGGACTTGAACTCAGGGCCTTCCACTTACAAATGAGATTAAAGGCTAGACTTCCCTATATGCTGTGTATTCCATTCTTATATACAGATCATTTTCCTAGAATAGAGCTTTCAGAAATGGGATCATTAGGGGTTGGGAAGGTGGCTCAGTGGTAGAGTGCTTGCCTTGCATGCATGAGGCCCTCCCTGGGTTTGATTTCCTCAGCACCACATAAACAGAAAAGGCTGGAAGTGGCGCTGTGGTAGAGCGCTAGCCTTGAGCTGAAGAGCTGAGGGACAGTGCCCAGGCCCAGAGTTCAAGCCCTACAATGGACCCCCCCAAAAAAAAAAAAGAAAAAAAGAAATGGGATCATTAGGTTTATCTAGAACTGCAAAATTCCCATTTGATAACTAATCATCAAAGACTCCTCAAATGATAAAGCAATATAAAATTATAAAAACTAAGTATTTTATTTCCTGTTTGTCATTTCTGGAAATGTTGAAGACAGGATATTTGTTTTTTTATTTGTTTGTTTTTTTTGGGGGGGGTCCGGTCGTGGAGCCTGAACGCTGGGCCTGGGCGCTGTCCCTCAGCTCTTCAGCTCAAGGCTAGCACTCTACCACTTGAGCCACAGCACCACTTCCAGCTTTTTTTTTCTTTTTGTTTATGTGGTGCTGAGGAATCGAACCCAGGGCCTCAGGCATGGAAGGCAAGCGCTCTACCACTGAGCCACCTTCCCAGCCCAAGACAGGATATTTGTAACCTCCTTCAAAAAAAGAGTTCCAAAATAATATGTGAATAATTCAAATCAATAGTTGACATTTAAAACTAAAACAAACTGCCTTTATGATTTAATGAATTTTAAATGGTATCTAAGTTAACCTCCAAAGCACATGGACTATGAGCTTTAAAAGCATTCATCCCACTGGGAACTGGTGGGTCACGCCTGTAATCTTACCTATTCAGGAGGCTGAGATCTGAGAATCACGGCTCAAAGCCAAGCTGAGAAACTCTTATCTCTAATAAACCACTAGATAACCAGAAGTGGTGCTGTGGCTCAAGTGGTAGAGCACTGGGCCTTGAGCTGGAGCTTAAGGACAGCGCCCAGGCCCAGAGTTCAAGCCCCACGACAGAACAAAAAAAAACCATTCATCCAAAAAAATTCTGAAGGATAAAATATTTTCTGTTAGGCCTGTTCTCTATTTGGCAAATTTTATTTTTCTTTCCAAGTTTTGTAAGTAGCAAAAATGGCTGCCTTTGTTTACTTCTGCCTGTTAAGTTTACAGTACTTTTCAGAACAATGTCAAAAAGAAATATGCTAGGCTCTGGGAAACCAACAGCATTCCTGTACAGCTGCCACATACTTCATTCATAACAAGTTCTCCATCTTCATTCTTTCCTTTGCTTCTGCCCTGCTCAAAGGTCAATAGAAAAATCTGGAAAGTATTTATGATCACAATAAGGAGAAATAAAACTATGCTTGAAAATTGCTACATTTTTTTAAAATGAAGAACTAGAGAATAGTGCTTAAGCCTAATTCTGTTCTGAATTTGAATACAACTACTTTTCTACCACTCAGAAAACTGTAGGGAAGGAAGTGGCACTGTAGCTCAAGAGGTAGAGTGCTCGCCTTGAGCAGAAGAGCTGAGGGACAGTGCTCAGGCCCAGAGTTCAAGCCCCACGACTGACAAAAAAAAAAAAGGAAATGTACTCGTTATCTGGCCGGGCGCTGGTGGCTCACGCCTGTAATCTTAGCTACTCAGGAGGGTGAGATCTGAGGATTGCGGTTCAAAGCCAGCCCGGGCAGGAGAGACCATGAGACTCCTATCTCCAATAAACCACCAGAAAACCGGAAGTGGCACTGTAGCTCAAGTGGTAGAGCGCTCGCCTTGAGCTGAAGAGCTGAGGGACAGCGCCCAGGCCCAGAGTTCAAGCCCCACAGCTGACCAAAAAAAAAAAAATTAACTTGTGTCACAATTCTTGAACAAGATGAATTCTCAATAAATATTATTGTCTCTGTAGACAGACTTCATCTATCCTGGAAGCATTTCTCATTTCCATGGGTGTAACAATGCAAAGTGAGCTGGGCACTGGTGACTCACACCTGTAATCCTAGCTACTCAAGAGGCTGAGACTTGGAGGATGGTGTCTGGAGCCAGTCAGAGGACAAAAGTCTAAAGGAGTCAAACTCCTAAAGCAAAAAGCAGAGCAGAAGTGTGGTTTGTGGCTCAAGAGGTAGAACACCAGCTGTGAGCAAGTAAGCCAAATAGTGCAATACCTTGAGTGCAAGTCCTAGAACCAGGAAAAATAAATAAATAAAGAGGAAAGCAGTAGGGAGTACATTGCATATATGCATATATATGGAAATATCACAATAATAAAAATGAATAAAGCACTATGCTGTGAAGACAAACATTTGTTATGCAGAGTTACACATAAAATTTTAAGTTTTATTACCATAAAAAAAAAAATCTTGCGGGAGGGGGGGGACAGGGGGGACGGGGGGGGGGGGGGGGGGAGGGATGGGAAGGGAAAACAAAGGAGGAGGCAACAATGCCTGATTAAAAACTGTACTCATGGGGCTGGGAAGGTGGCTCAGTGGTATAGCGCTTGCCTTGCATGCCTGAGGCCCTGGGTTCGATTCCTCAGCACCACATAAGCAAAAAGAAAAAAAAATTAAGAAAAAAAAATCTGAATTTAAAAAAAAAAAAAAAAAAAAAAAGAAATGTACTCATTACTTTGCCGATGTAATTGTAACTCCTCTGTATGGCATTTTCACAATAAAAAAAAAATCTTGCTTAGGATCACTGGCAACACAATGGAAAGGACCACAGTAAATGTCCAAAGGCCCCTCCTGTAGTACCCGCAGTGAAAGTGGCTCCAGAAATGAAGCTCACTTATTTCCACATCTCTCAAAACTTTAAGTTTTAGAAATTCCATCATCTCAGCTTGAAGTTTAATACTTTACAAGACAAAAATATAGTGAGGCTGTTGCTTTTTTTTTTGAGATGGTCTCTATATGTCATCAGGTTGCCCTTGAACTTAAAATCCCAAGCGCTGTCACCACACCCAGAGCTCAACAATGAAGCTTTAAAAAAAAAATATATGAGATGCTTTACGAATTTGCCTGTCATCCTTGAGTAGGGTCCATGCTAATCTTCTTACAGTGAAGCTTTTGAATGAAAAGATCTTGTGATTGTTTTTCAGAGACAAATCAGAAACCTATACTTTTTAACTGCAACATACTAATCACTGTTCCCAAGAATAAAGCCTGTTACTTCTAATTACTAGTCTCCCATTATTGATTTACCAAAACTCCATTCAGGCTCTTGAATTGTAATTACTACATAAAAGTTCTCAAATACCACCCATGGGCATTTATTAACATCACCATGCCACTTACAACTCACAACCAATTTCATTACTTTCATTTATCACATCAACTGCAGAAAAAATGCATTCAATACAATATGGAACTAAATAACACGTTCTAAAAACTTCACTGTGCAATTTTTACACATGAACTCTATTTTGAAAAAATGATTCTTTATCCAGAATTATCAGTCCAATTTCAAAGAAAATATTTAGCATGAATCTAATCTTTAGATTATATGAGGACTTGGGGCATGGCTAGGTGAGATTCCTTTGCCTACCAAGCAAGTTCAAGGCTGAGCTCCTATCTCAGACCATCAAAAAAAGATAAATAAATAATAAAGATTAAGTAACTTTAGCATCACTTTTGGCTGCCGTGTACCAGTTACAACACAACTGTGCAGCAGAGTACTGCAGAGGCACCTGCTCCAACTCAAGCTCCTTCCCATTCCCAATCCCCATTTCCTGTCTCCATAGAATTAAGTAATGGTTTGGCTCATGATCCCCCCCCCCAACACACACACACAGAGGGTCCCATACTACATATTTCAGTTGCACCACAGATCTAAGTAGGAGCACTGGGTCATTCTTAGAGCTCCAGCATCTTGACTATGCAATCAATAAAAATGTGATTATAGGTGGGCACTTGTGGTTCACACCTGTAATCCTAGCTACTCAGCGGGCTAGGATGGCAGTTCAAAGTCTGCCCAGGCAAGAAAGTCCATGAGACTCTTATCACCAATTAACTACCAGAAAACCAGAAATGGAGCTATGGCTCAAATAGGTAGAATGCTAGCCTTGAGCAAAGCAAAAAGACCACACCCTGAATTCAAGCCATGTGACCAACCAAAAAGAAAAAGAAAAAAAAAAAAGAAAAAAGTAATCACAGAAAGGTGCCCATATAGCCAGTATCCATATAGCCAGCCACTGGTGGCTTACGCCTGTAATCCTAACTACTCAAGAAGCTGAGATCTGAGGATCAAGGTTTAAAGTCAGCCCAGGGAGGAAAGTCCAAGAAACTCTTATCTTCAATTAACCACCAGAAAACTGGAAGTGGCACTGTGTGGCTCAAATGGTAAAAGCACTAGCCTTGAATAGAGGGACAGCACCCAGGCCCAAACTTCAAGCCCCACAACAGACAGGAAAAAAAAATGTATTCATTACCTAGATTATGAATGGTAACCCCTCTGTACAACACAACACCTTAATAGTAACAATAACATTACATTTTAAGAATTTCCATTATTGGACTAAAGAGTGTGGTAGAGCACTTGCCTACAAGTGTGACAAACACTGTAGAAATAGAAAAATTGCATCTACAAAAACAAAACAAGGAAATCTTTTGGGGATGTTAATTTTTTAGGAGAGGGAGGAGTGTAAGAGAGGTACAAATTTATGAAGTAACAATGAAATTCAACAGACACACACGCGCGCGCGCGCACACGCACACACACACACACACACACACACACACTAATAAATAGTATAAGCCAGCCAGGCACCAGTGGCTCACACCTGTTATCCTAGCTACTAAGGAGGCTGAGATCTTTGGATCATAGTTCAAAGCCAACCCAGGCAAGAAAGTCTGTGAGACTTGAATAAACTATTCAAAAAGCTAGAAGTGGAGCTGTGGCTGTGCTAGCCTTAGGAGAAAAAAAAAAAAAAAGCTCAAAGCCAGCACTCAAGCTCTGAGTTCAAGTCTCAGGACTGGCACAAAAATAAGTAAAAAAGCAAAAAAAAAAGTAAAATAAAGAATTAAACTCTTATTTCTGGGCTGGGAGGCGTGGCTCAAATGGTAGAACACTTAAGTACAGATGTGAGGTCATAAGTTCAATAGAAGGAGCCCCACTGCTAAAGTTAAAAAGAACATAGTAGGGGCTGGGAAGGTGGCTCATGGCTCAGTGGTAGAGCGCTTGCCTTGCAATGCATGAGGCCCTGGGTTCGATTCCCCAGCACCACATAAGCAAAAAGAAAAAAGCTGGAAGTGGCGCTGTGGCTCAAGTGGTAGAGCGCTAGCCTTGAGCTGAAGAGCTGAGGGACAGCACTCAGGCCCAGAGTTCGGGCCCCACAACCGGACCCAAAAAAAAAAAAAAAGAACATAGTAAAATCTAAACATAAATAAGGTAGCTGTAGCTTACTACCATGCATTTAAAAAAATCTGCCAAGAGCTGGGAAGGTAGCTCAATGGTAGAGCACTTGCCTTGCATGCATGAGGCCCTGGGTTCGATTCCTCAGCACCACATAAGCAAAAAAGAAAAAACCGGAAGTGGCACTGTGGCTCAAGTGGTAGAGTGCTAGCCTTGAACTGAAGAGCAGAGGGACAGCGCCCAGGCCCAGTTCAGGCCCCACAACCGGACCAAAAAAAAAAAAAAAATCTGCCAAGTTTTTTCTACAGTAAATGAAACTATGGTTTGAAAGAATGATCCCTAGACTAGCTGTACTGAGGTCTCCTGGAAAATGGTCAGAAACACAGAACCTCAGGCTCCACCCCAGACCTACTCCAATTCTCCTTTGTAATAAGATTCCTAGGTGATATGAACTTACATTGATGTCACTACTCTAAAAGAAATCACTTGGCACATCTGAACACCAGTTTGAGATCCATATTTTAAAACAAAGTTGTGAGCTGGGTAGTTTGGAAAGGTTGCTTAAGCTATAAGAATCATAAGACAGCCGGGCGCTGGTGGCTCACGCCTGTAATCCTAGCTACTCAGGAGGCTGAGATCTGAGGATCGCGGTTCAAAGCCAGCCCGGGCAGGAGAGACGGTGAGACTCTTATCTCCAATAAACCACCAGAAAACCGGAAGTGGCGCTGTGGCTCAAGTGGTAGAGCGCTCGCCTTGAGCTGAAGAGCTGAGGGACAGCGCCCAGGCCCAGAGTTCAAGCCCCATGACCGACAAAAAAAAGAATCATAAGACATTATTTTTTAAGTTTTTTAAAACTGTTATATAGAAATGATGTATAGAGGGGTTACAGTTACATAAGTCAGATGAGTACATTTTTCTTTAGACAGTAAGATATATATTTTGAGGTTTTTTTTTTTAAATCGAGGCTGGCCCATGAAGGTTAGAATGTGTGACTTTAAGTATCATTATTTCATGATACTGTGAAATATGTGAAAATTTATGTATTCACTTAATCAAAATAAAAAAAAAACTACAATTAAAAAAAATTGGGGCTAGGAAGGGGCTCGGTGGTAGAATGCTTGCCTAGCATGCATGAAGCCCTGAGTTCAATTCCTCAGTACCACATATGCAGAAAAAGCCAGAAGTGGCACTGTGGCTCAAATGGTAGAAAGCTAGCCTTGAGCAAAGCAGCTCAGCGACAGTACCCAGGCCCTGAGTTCAAGCCCCAGGACTGGCAAAAAGAAAAAAAAAAAAATCTCTCTACAAAGCCAGGCACTGGTGGCTCACACCTGTAATCCTGTACTCAAGAGACTGAGAGCTGAGGATCTCGGTTCAAAGCCAGCCTGGTTTTTGCTTTTTGTTGGTTGTGGAGCTTGAATTCAGGGTCTGGGTGCTATCCTTGACCTCTTTTGGTCAAGAATAGAACTCTACTACTTTGAGCCACAGTGCCACTTCCAATTTTCTGGTGGTTAATTGGAGACAAAGAGTCTCACAGACTTTCTTGCCTGGGGCTGGTTCTGAACCCTGATCCACAGAACTCAACCCTCTGAATAGCTAAGATTACATCATGAGCTACCAGCCTGGCCCCCCCAGGGCTAGTTTGGCTTTGATAGAAGTTTTTTGTGTTTTGGGGTTTTTTTTGGGTCCAGTCGTGGGGCCTGGGCTCTGTCCCTCAGCTTTTCAGCTCAAGGCTAGCACTCTACCACTTGAGCCACAGCGCCACTTCCAGCTTTTTTCTTTTTGCTTATGTGGTGCTGAGAAATCAAACCCAGGGCTTCAGGCATGCAAGGCAAGCGCTCTACCACTGAGCCACCTTCCCAGCCCCTTTGATAGGAGTTTCTAAGACTCATTTCCAGTTAACTACTAAAAAAGCCAGAAGCATGGAGCTGTGGCTCAAGTGTTAGAGCACTAGCCTTGAGCACCAAAGCTCTGGGACAACACCTAAGCCCTGAGTTCAGAACCAACACACACACAGACACACAAGACACACACACACCCCTACAGATATGAAATAAATTGTAAACTAAGATATAAGGAATTATTAGTACTTGATTGTCACTGCTCATTTCTGATGGCTATGTCACAGTAATGGCATCGCATCTCCCCTGCGTCTGGATGCCTGGTGGATATGTACCATCAGTATCATTGTAAGCACACCTTTGCCTCCTTTTGGAGTCCGCTGTACTAGCAAGGCTGGCTTCCAGGGCTCCTGACTGACCAACCACTCCCGCCTAGTTCCTTCCAGTACAGAATGTACTAATCATGAAAACATTTCACAATAACTTGCTTGTTTTAATCTCCTCTCTTTTCTAACAAATCTAATATAGATCCAAACTAACTTCATTGGAAAATGTGTTTGAAGTTCAGGTTTTGTAGTTCATTTTTCTTCAGAGGTTCTATATTAACCAGTTGAAGAAGTGGTGATTGTTGTTGTTGTTTTTACAGTACATTGTTGTATGCTGAACAGAACATGAAGTCTGCTACAGGAAAGACTCTGAGACCAATCTGGTCATGATTGATCAGCTCATTGTATGATGTTGGCTAACAGCATATTAAAAATAGCCCCCAAATTAACAGAGCACACTATCTTCTTGTCTGGCTTAGCCCTACTCTTACCTTTCAAAATTTGTCACTAGTCACATGAAATACTATCCTCTTATTCCATAGGGGATTATAGGAGTTTTATATCCTTTGGGGGAGGTTCTTTAGCAGCATAAAACAATACACTCCAGTTTTACAATGACTATACTTTTATAAAATACAGCCATTTTTAGTAATTGTTAACTTGATTTCAGCTCCCAGAAAAACTCAATAATTCAGAGGCTGGAGATGTGGTTCAAGTGGTAAAATGCTTGCCTAGGTAATCAGTGTCCTACCTAACAGACTCTCTCTACCACAGTAAGGTGATCCAAATTGGAAAGGAGCTATTCCTAAACCAGAAGAGGAAGAAGCACAGAAGTGAAAAATAACCAGAAGAAACTCAAACAAAAACTTAAGTTCAAACGCTAGGTGCCAATGGCTCACACCTGTATTCCTAGCTACTCAGGAGGATGAGATCTGAGGATCATGGTTCAAAGTCAGCCCAAGCAGAAAAGTCTCCATGAGACTCTTATCTCCAATTAACCATTCAAAAATCAGGAAGTGGAGTCGGCCGGCACCGGTGGCTCACGCCTGTAATCCTAGCTTACTCTAGAGGCTGAGATCTGAGGATCGCGGTTCAAAGCCAGGTTCAAAGTCAGCCCTGGGCAGGAAAGTACGTGAGACTCATCTCCAATAAATCACTAGAAAACCGGAAGTGGTGCTGTGGCTCAAGGGGGTAGAGCGCTTGCCTTGAGCTGAAGAGTGCAGGGACAGTGCCCAAGCCCAGAGTTCAAGCCCCACGACTGACCAAAAAAAAAAAAAAATCAGGAAGTGGTACTGTGCCTCAAGTGGTAGAGCTCTAGCCTTGAGCACAGAGACTCAGGGACAGTGACCAGGTCCTGAGTTCAAAACTCAAAACAAATAAAGAATGAGTTCAAATACAAAACAAATTGAGGGGTTGGGAATGTGACTTAGTGGTATAGTGTTTGACTAGCATGCATGAAGCCTTGGTTCAATTCCTCAGTACCACATAAACAGAAAAAGGCAGAAGTGGTGCTGTGTGGCTCAAGTGGTAAGAGTGCTAGCCTTGAGCAAAAGAATCTCAGCGACAGTGCTCAGCCCCTAAGTTTAAGTCTCAGGACAGGCGGAAAAAAAAAAAGTAGAAATGGGAAACATGTATGTGTTTTAAGTGACCTGAGGTGACTTGTAGAAATGGCTTGCTACTCTTTTGATTCTGAAAACCCACAAAAATCATGTGAATCAAGAGGTTCAAATCTGGGTGCTCAGTTTAAGAATGCCTGAGAAACGGCCCAGCCATCAAGCATATGCATATCAGAAGAGACATCAAGTACCCGAAAGGTCACTTTCAAGTAACAATGTGTGTGCCATTCTGGCATTACAATGGTAGAGTTGATTGATATGCCCAGGCCATACAGTGAGCCCCGCAAAGAGTGCTGGAGAGCAATGCCTGAACTGAAAGGTTTGGATGGAGATTCTCTGATCATCAAACATAAACCCTGGTACTCAGTGCCTTACCTTTAGACTCACGGTCAGATTGACCAATACAGGAACTCCCTCTACCACACTGAGGTGATCCAAATTGGAAAGGAACTGTTCCTAAACCAGAAGAGGAAGTAGCACAGAAAAGAAAAATAACCAGAAGAAACTCAAACAAAAATGTATGGCACAAGCTGGGCACCAGTTGCTCCCACCTGTAATCCTAGCTACTCAGGAGGCTGAGATCTGAGGATCGCAGTTAAAAGCCAGCCTGGGTAGGAAAGTCCATGAGACTCATCTCCAATTAACGACCAGAAAACCAGAAGTGGCGCTGCGGCTCAGGCTCACGTAGAGCCTATGTCTTGAGCTAAAGAACTGAG